AAGATAAACCACACATTTCGAGTCGCAATTCAACCTATGATTCACTTTGTACTGTTTACCATTTGTTGAACACTCAAAGCTGTCGGTTTCTCGAATATTATTGCACGTTAAACATCGTGCTTTCTTACATTTCTTACACCCCTTTTCCCTCACTAACGGCGGTACTTTAGCCCTAACTAAATAACTTTTTAAGTTGCGGCCAGTTTTAAATGCCACAAATGGTCCTGAGAAAACACTTTCTGAGCTTCTGGATCTAAGTATAATAGGTGTATTTATTTTTTATCAGTGAAAATGAAGCAATCTGATTGGCTGAGGAGCCTTTCAGAGCGGGCCGGTTTTTTGTATCCGGCCCGCTCTGAAACGCAACTGCCCGCTGTGAAATGCAACTGCCCGCTCTGGTTTTCGCGCCAAAAACCGAGGAGTGAAACAATTTTTAAACAAAAAAATCTGCCAAAAACGTTTGAAAAACATAGCCTAATGATAGTCAGAATACGAAAATGAATTGCATCAAGCCCTAAAGGCTTCATACTAAGCACGATGTTTCAAGACCTCGGACACAGTTTTTCTCATCCGGACCTCGCAGCCGGTAAATAACATATATATATATTTACGAATTATAAGACCTAAGTCCTTTAACAGAGGATGAAACGTAATTATCAAAGGTACTTCTATTTTTGTGAAATGATTTATCACAAGATTGTAACCTCTCAAATTCTTTCCTAATAAGCCACATTGGGTAGGCTCTATTTTGCAGCCAACCCGACAATTCCTGCAAATGTTTATCAGCGTCTTCCTCTCTTGAGCAGATTTTCTTGATGCGTATATATATATATATATTCAAATTGTCAAGTTACACGCTATGTGCACTATTCTGATATACCAATAAAGCAAGACAATTGAAGTGAATTTTATTTATGCATAAAAAAATTCAAATTTTGATAATTAGCGCGATAAGAAGACAAAATTATGGGCCAGACACTTTTTTATCGTCAAATTATTTGCCTACAAGCTTTCAATTGTACTGTACCTGACAGAAGTTAGGAAAACTTGAGGAAAATTTGGGATCAATGAGTGAAAACATGGCTAAAAGCGCGGTCACGAAAAGGCCTAATTATATGAGCGAATTCTTGCTCAATGGTTGTTCCCATTCATAATAAAAGAGTCTGAACCCATAATTAATAAATAAGTTAAATACAAATACAGTTGAACATCTAAAGGCCGTTTTCCACTTCAACCCTGTCGTACCGAAGTGTATTTCTTTGCTTCCCGAACACTAGTCGAACTAATGCACGACTTCGACATGCACAAAAGAAATACATTAAGATACGCAGAAGTCACTGATCTCAAAACTAGGACTGGATATGGCATCTGCAATGGAGGCCAAACACAAATCTGTGGTGTCAGTGACATGATAGAAGAGGCTCTTAAAGTTTCTGGTGATTGGTAGGACTAAAAATATTGCCTAGACTCTAGAGAGAAATTAGTGGTCTCTCTTCCTTCTGATATTTTGTTGATAGTATAATTAATTTAAGCACGCAACGATCTGATACGTTAAAAATGTCTTCTCGTTATAAATATTCTGGCTTCAAAATTAATTCCCTGAACTCAAAATGTTGCAATTAAATTCAGTTGCACTATTCTGTGAGATCAGTGGTAGAAGTGCACAACGGCCTTTATCAGGGATATTGCAGTTAATAATGTTTCAAACCACTGTTCATTATGTTCAACGCCTATTTAAAATTGCGTAATTCAAATCAAATTTCAATAATTCTCAGGTGAGTACACCTTGTTAAATAAATCTATTTATTATATACCAAGTGTCAAAGTTCATGTTTTCTTGAATCCATTGGACGAGAGCGTTCCATGATGTGAAAGTCATGGAAATTCGACTGTCTTCGGGCAACAGCTCTGAGACATTAATATTACTTTTATTCATCGGTGAATCCTAAAATCCAGTTATAAAGAACAAATGATGGAAGTTTCCAGTTTCTTTTTGTTCTCTTTGACAAGTGGTATATATAATAAAATACTTATTATTAATAATCGAGACTTCCGGAAAACAGTTTGTTTTGTGGACCCTCAACCGCATGCCCATGTTTCCTTTGGCTTCGCCTCGGGAAATGTCTCGGGTCGACAAGACATACTATTCCCTCGGTCCCAGTCAATAAGTGTTAATTATTCTTCCTATAATAACAACTTAAATTCTTTGCTATAGTATTACACGTGTAACAGAAATTTAGAACATCAAAAATCAGTTACACTTGACAGTCCTCGTGTTTCGCGCATAAAATATTTCTCTTTGATCTTCATCCCAATCATTCCTAACCCTAACTCTATTGTGCGTGAAACATGAGGATATAACCAACTGACATAATTTACTTTTACTATTTAAAGGGATATACAACACTATAAAATCTCTTGAAACGTTTAAAATTATGAGGGAATCATTTTAAAGTTTTTTTTTCAAATCTTGTTTTATTAGTTCTCGAAAATTTAAGCCGAAATCAAAATATGGGTCATCTAAGAGTAGTTTTAAATGGCTAACCTTACTTTGACGTCAGTCAGCAAAACCACCGTTAATGAGGTCAAAAATTGACCAAAGATGGCGGACAACTGATCTTTTTCAGTCCAAATATTCCAGGAAAAAAGTTACAATTTCAAGTGAAGCATACTAAATTTCATTGCTATATCCCCTTAATGCAAGTGAATAAAACAAAGTACGCTCATCAATTAATCAACTGTGGGAAAAAAATAAAGGTCATGATTGCTCAGGTATAAAGCCTAATACATTACAATCGTGAATCACTGGGGAATGCCGGTGACAGTGGGCCGGTATATTTATTGAAAATTTCAGTTGAATATGGTAAATTCAAAGAATTCTTTTCTAGAAATATTGGACAAATGTGTGAGTCAAGATTGTTTACATTAAGGTGGCTAGATATAGTTATCCCAAAAACTCTGCTCAAGAATTGGGAACAAAACCGGGACATTCTTAGGCGCAGGTCGCGGAAACTGATTTTGCGCCGGTCGCGGAAACTGACCGCGGAAACTGATAAAACGAAATGAAAGAACTTCCAAAATGACCTAACGTTAGCAGTTGCTCGCGTCATCTCGCGTCATTGTGCGTGTTCTATAACGTTTTATGTCAATTGTTACTAAAACTAATATAATTTGAAAGTATAGAGATATCAAAATATATAAAAAACCCAATATCTGCTGAATAAATCCTAAAAATGCGTAGTTTGAACATGTCAAAGTGTTGAACATCTCAATTTTTGAAAACTGAATCGAGCCACCTTAAGCGATTTTTAAACACCGATATATCGTAACAGAATCCTTTTGAAGCACAATTATCTACAGCCAGTAATTGCCAAATAAATTTCATTCAATGTGTACAATCATGGATAATAAAATACATCGAAATTTAAAAAAAAATTCATTGAACTAACTCCATTGGACTTCCGCCGCTCTCTTCCCCGTTCAATGTTGCTATTATGAACAAGTTTTGTTTACCATTTGTCAATGGCTAATACGAATAATTAATGTTTTAACGGAAACATATACCTGTGGACGTTATTGGACGGAGCCCTTGATATTTCAGTAGTACAATTTGCACGAAATTACAAATATGGGGGGGGGGGGTTTACTGAAGCTGTTTTTATTGAAAATTTGATGAACTTTGTTTTTAAATGTTTTGTTTTATTCGTTACTCGTTAGTGTTACAAAACAATTATTGGAGATAACATTGACCTTGGGATGAAAAATTTTGGATAATATCTTGCTTAACCTCATCCAATAATTGTTAATTATTTGCAAAAGAAAGACATATTTGATCCTTTCATATTTACTTCTGTCCTTAAGAAAACGTCCTGTTCGTTTAAAATTAACAAAACGTCCTGTTCGTTTCAATAAACATCGCTAAAGCGGTGTACCCGCGTGCTAAAACTCTCCAAAAAACGGTAGTAGAATAACCCGCTTGTAAATATCCCTGTGAATTTAATATATAAATATTCAAATGTGGTTGGTTTCTTTTAAAGAGACATCGCCGAACTTTCCTTTCTCATAATATCCCTTGCCGTCGCAAAACTCGCAATCTATGTGTTCTTTAGTTTGACCTCGGAAAACCCCTCTTATTTTTCTTCCTAGAGGTAGTATGGATCCCGTTTGACCTTCAGGTCCTATTAACGCCATCACAGTGCAAAAAATAAATAAGGAATATAAAATTGAAAATCCAATTGTTGCGAATATAAATATCCCAAATTGAACAAAGAACAAGATCCTGGCGGCAAACATAAATATTGATGCACCCAAAGTTGAACACGCACCGGATAAGACAGAAACACCAACATGTGATAATGCATAACGTACTTTGTCTGCTCTTCTGTTGTGTGGTGACTGAATATAACCCTCCGCCAGATGGACAACATAGTCAACTGCTAAACCCACAATTAAAGTAAGATTCAAGGACTCCAACGGTCCAAGTTTCCAACCAATCATACTTATGATTCCAAGTACTGTACACGTGATCAACGCGATCACAAATGTTGCCAAGAGACCGACGATGACGTTTGTACTTGTAAGAATCAAAATGACAAGAGCCAACGATATTCCAATTACGATCCCTGTAAATGCGTTCAGTACAAGGATCTAAAGAGAGATAAAGGTTTGTATAGGTAAACCTTAATTTTACGAGATGCGATTATTTGTTAATCATAGAGGGCAAAATTTATTCACAAGTAAATTGTGAACTTGTCAAGTTGTTGAACCTCGTATGAACATGAACTCGCTAGCTGCTAATATATTGTGTGGATTTAGCGACCACAGACACAGTTGAGTTAGTTGCTGATCTACTGCCGCTTTCAAGTGTTTTTATTCGGCGCATAGGCAAAATTCCCTCTTTAGCTAAACTGGTGAGCCATGCAGGTATATTATTAAGATCAATATTACTGTACATTGAAAGTGTTTTATGTTTGGTTTCATACAATTGTATTTGTAACAAAACGACTCTTAGTTATTCGACCAGAATAATAATAACACTAAGTCTATAAGCTAATGCTATTAAAAGACGGAAACGGCAAGCTCGCGGATGTGTATTTTAATTAAACCACCTTTTAACATTATGAGAAACATTTTGCTCAATTATATACACTGTTAATTTCAAGGAGTTATTTTAACTCCACCATGGGAGTAAAACTACTCAACTCGGGAAAGTAAAAATTGTGGAGTAAAATCTACTCCCAAAATAGAGTTAAAACTACTCCACTTCGGCGCGCATTCCACAATTTACTCCTTCGGGAGTCAATTTAACTCCACTGGAGGAGTAAATTAAACTCGCTTGGAGTAATTTTTACTCCTTAATTTTACTCCAGGAGTCATTTCAACTCCCAAAACAGAGTAAAATATATTATCTGGATCTAGAGTAAATTACAATATATTATAATTAATTAATGCGCAGAGAATTCAAGATGGCGGCGGCTATTGCATGAAGATGCGAAAAGCACGAACTTCCGAGCTATAAAGACGTTAGACATTGATATATATTAAATTTTACGTTTTTGGTTACACAGAGAAGCCTTGCCTATATATAAAAACCCAATAAAAACTTGAAATTGGTAACGACTGGTCTCACTGCGACACTGCCACTGGACGTGAATGATAAATGGCCAGGAAATGATGAATTATCGATTTTAATGTTTATTAATCATTATGGTGGACTTGGTGGTAAAATCTTCGATAATCAGTAGACAGTATTATATTTATTTATTGGTTGTACTAACTGAAAACTGACAATTTGTGGTTATATTTATAACGCATTTAGCCTTGTTGCCCTTGTAACAAGGCTCAAGGATGCACCAGTTTCTGGACTGCATATAAAGTAACAATTAACCAGTTATAATCCAAGCGGTATGGTATGTCTGTGTGTCCAGACAGAAATAATTTAGCATGATGCAAGGTTGCCTGGCAGATACGGTTGAGAATTTTTCTGTCTTTTCTACCCCCATCCCCCTCTCCTGGAATAAATGGGGTGGGCATATTTGGATAGATGACAAATATTGATCATCATGCATATATATACAAACATGCAAGTTATTTTCAACATCCATACCTTGCATGGTGACATGGTCGTTGAGTTGAGGCGTCGGTGGTGCAGTCATGATAGGTGTACGGGAAGGAAACTGCAGTGGTGCAGTCATAGGCATACAAAGATTAGGGGGCAGAAAGAAAATTTCCCTGACTTGTCAAAAAGTCTCTGGTTAGCACTTTTTACCATCCAGCAAACCGCCCTATCGATTTTGTAAAGTCGTTTCTTTTTGGATTTTTTATTAATTCGGTTAGAGTTAGAGTTGAGGCTAGAGTTAGTGGTTAGAGTAGGGGTAAGGTTTTGGTTAGTTACATAGCCATTTAACACTTCTTCTATCTTGCGAAAATGACATCAGGTCAGTTTGCTGGATGGAAAATAGTGCTAACCAAAGTCTCTATGCAAACTTTCCAAAATTGTTGTCGACAGGTGGTGGTGGGAGAGGGGGGTGGGGGAGGCAGGGGTGACAAGATGGAAAAATTTTAGAATGTATTATAATTTATCATAACTTTTATATTGGGGGGAAAGATGATTACTGTTGGATAGTTAGTAGTAATAAACCACAATCTTAGGGCGTTTTCCATTCAATGGTCAGACCCAAGTTCTTTTCTCTGTGTCAATGGAAAGATCTAATGTTATTTAAAGTTTCTGGTCAGATAGTTGCAGTATTTCACCGCAACAGTTTCGACGTTTAGAATATTTAATATTGTGAAGGGTGGCGAACTTATGTTATACGCTGTGCGTAGTACTTGTCTAATAGTATTCTTTTGTAAATCTTACAAGGCAAGCGGCTTCAGATAAACTTTAGACGCCTACCATATGACGCCTACAAAGTCGGCTTAACCATTGTAAAGATATTCTCTAAGGCATTTAAACGGCTTCATGAACGTATTTTAACGTTTTGTACAAATCGTTCGAACGATTTAGCAACATTTTTCAAACGTTTTTATCCAACCGTTCGAACGGTTCATTAATGAGTCTGAACGATCTCAAAAATCGTTTCAACGGAAGGCTAAAGCGTTTAAACGGATAAAGAACGGATAACGAACGATTTTTCAGAACGTTTTTCAAAACCGTTAACGTACGTTTTCCCATGGAAGGTCACATATATTCATTTTCTCAACGTTGATTGGCTAATTTTCCTACAAATAACTGGTGAGAATAATACGTCAGCTGCAAATAACTGGTGCAAATAATGATCTGGGCATGCACACTTTTGAAATCGATTCTCAATTGCAAACTATCGATTTACGCCTGCGCATTTAAAATTCAAATAAACACAAAAGTAAACATGGCTCGTTTTGCTAAGCTTTCAGAAGACGACTTGCGTATTTGCTAGAAGAAGATGCAGTGAATTAGTGAATACAAAAAAGGTTCAATATTGTTGTGAAATTATAATCTTCGTGACGGCTACAAAATTTCGAAAATGAACAAGTGCAGAAGTGAGTTTTTCAAAGACTATTTGTGAGTCAACGAGTGCAGAAGTGAGTTTTTCAAAGGCGTTTTATTCAATCACCCCCTTTTCGCATCTGCTAAACGCGAACCAATCAGCGTCGACTGCGATAAATAAACTGTCAACTGTCAAATTGACGCAAGGCGTGTACATTGTGCAACGAAGAAATACTGAATATTAAAATGTATACATAATGTATATATGAACAATAATACAAAGCATTAGCGGGCCGCACAATATATTACTCGGAAAAATATAGAATTCTTCAAATATTAAATAGATATCAATACACATACAAATATAAAGCCGAATAAAATACTACCATTGGCTTTGAATGTACAGTAATACTTGTACTATGTGCGACTGAAAGAACAATATTCATTGAAGCTATTACTAAAATACGGTCAGATAGATTGGGATTTGGAATACCGAATACGTCTAAAATTTTACTAACTGTGGTCTAAATAAATGATAAATGAGCATGTATTTATTAATTTCTTCGAAATCACGAGTGTGCCAATAGTGGAAGCCGTATCGACGACGAAATTGTCAGCAGTTTATACAGTAAATAGTACAACGTTTAATGTACGATATATATTTATCTAAATGACATGCCAGCGAGGATCAACAATATAATTATTCGTACATATTTGGGTATCTTTTGTATGCCTTCGCTTGCTGACTTGCTCACTAATGAGAATAATCCGTGAAGCCACGACGACCTCAAAATGTACTATACTATAGTCTGATGTCAATCCGAAGACGTTCAGAATACTGTTATAGTTTCGTATATTGGATTTAAGCGATAGATTCAAGTCATTTATGATAGACTTTTTTGCTGTGATGCTTTGCTATTGCTTTTGGTTTCCATTTCTAGTTTTATTTGTTCGATAGTCCTATAATATATAATATTAAAATGAATAAAGTTCAAATTCTTCAAAATGCTGTTGTTGACATTTGCTATTTTTAGTAATTTTGTCAACGAGTGTAAGCCAATCAGAAGCCTGCGTTTCTATACGAACGCCACTACCAAGAAACCCTATAGTTCCGTGCAGGGCCCTCTATTCTTCGCGCCGCCCGCAACCCAGGGCCTGTTCGCAGGCTAAATGTTCATTTGTTCTTTAATTAAAGAACAATTTCGCTCGACAAGTCTTCTCGAGTACAGCGACAACCAATGATATACTTTAGAATCTGGCTTGAATGAACAAATACTGTCTGAAAGCGAAGTTCTTGCCACTCTTAAATCTCTCGATCAAAATAAAGTTTTGGGGCCAAGCGGAATCTCTGAATGAGTTCTGAGAGCAACTGCAACTGCTGATGTAATTGCTCCATCAATTTATTACACTCCTGTACATATGTTCAATGAATCTCTACGGGTCGACGTCGTTCCAGACGAGTGAGAAGCCAACGTTGTTCCAGTATTTAAAGGAGATAAAGAGAACGGGTAGAACATTAGAGACCAATCTTCCTCTATATGCATTGTCTCAAAGTTGTTGGAACGTTGTGTATTAATCCACATCAGAGTTCATCTGCGAAATATCGTTAACGGTTGTCAATATGGCTTTGCGTAATCATGCACAACACAACCTATCGAAGTTGTGGGCACGATTGGAAAGCATCTGGATCAAGGAGAGCAGATAGACATCGTTTACCTTGAGATGTCTGAGGCATTCGACAGGCCAAGTTGATTGATAAACTTCGTAGTTTTGGGTCCAATAACAGCCTGCTTTCTTGGTTCCAGTCGTACGTCAGCATCGTCAACCGAACAGGTTACCGTGCTTGGATCAACATCTACGTTTTTGCCTGTGACTTCTGGTATACTACAAGGATTGCTCTTAGGACCGCTTATGTTTCCAATTTACGTCAATGATCTACCAGACATCGTAACTTCATCATCAGTAGCTTCCTTCGGCCCTTCACCGAGGACACCAACTGTTCAAGCATATATCCAACATAACAGACAACTCACTTCTACAACAGGACTTAAACAATGTCGAAGCCTGGTCTTCTTCTTCTGATACGTCATTCAACGAGAGAAAATGCAAGGTTCAAACCATATCAAGAAAAAGAAAACCAATCGTGACCTCACATTTCGTAGACAAAACACTACTCAGCTCGAGCATTGCAAGCACGAATTAAGAGACCTGCGAGTGCATGTGGATATCCTATTATTTGTCATGGAAGAAGCAAGTTCGTTTACAGACCGCGAAAGCCAACAAGATCCTCGTTTATGTGAAAAGAACGACTAAATTTGTAACCGAGCAATCACCACTAGACGTTGTACATACAGCCAAGATTTACGATCGAGAGCGTTCCTATTGCACTTTTCGCGCTTCGAGTTTAAGGGTTAAGAAATTGAATAATGAGATTATTATTATTCAGTTATTAATATACGTGAATTAGTAGTTACAATCTATGTAATTCCAAAATACAATAGGTGCCTGTTCAACATATAGCATTGCCATTGGCATAAAGTAGAACTGTACGCTTAACTTTTTAACTAAAGCATGAACAACTAGATCAGTTAGATCCATAATGACCGATGCATTATACTCCATTTTATCGCCGTGCAAAGTTTCAATCCTTCGCGCGTTTTTGTTGCACTTGCAGCCTTGTTTATCGCAAATCCGCTAGAGGTAGGCTGTAATGTAATGTAATACAGCTTATTCTTAAAATAAAGATATGTCAGTGAAGCACGAGAGTACACCAATACACCCTTTCGACAATTACGTCACACATACTATTTGGTCTTGGAGCCTCGCTCTCATTAGTAAATTATGCAAGGTGATTGGCTCACGATTCATGAGAGCGAGGCTCCCAGGCCAAATGACGCAATTATCGAAGGGTGTATTGGGGCCTCTCTCACTGCGATTGCGTGGACAGAAATACAGCCTAATAGAGCCTATGCTTTAGTAAGAGAGGTTGGTTGAGGGGGCTTTTGAGGTTGCGTTACGCCAGTGGGCTGTTCATATGAGCTGTGATAGCTCAGATTACACACGTAAAAACGCACAAGCGCTCACAAGTCTGCAAACAAGTTGTTACAAGTCTGTTCACAAGTAGCTGTCAACAAGTTGTGTTCGAACTGCTTGTTACAAGTCTGTTCACAAGCTGTCAACAAGTTGTGTTCGCACTGCTTGTTCCCAAGTCAAAACAAGCTGTTAACAACTTGTAACAAGCTTGATGGCATTATCAGCCTTGTTACAAGACTGTGCTAACAAGTTTTTTACAGCCATGATATAACAAGAATGTTACAAAATTGTCAACACAAGGTTGTAACAATCTTGTTATACCAAGCATGTAGCGGATTTGTCAGAACAACCTTGCAACAGGTCTGATATTTTCGACAAAGTTGTTACAAGTTGTCAGCAAGTTGTTCCAAACCTGTTGACAACTTGTGACAAGCAGTACGCAAAATTAAAGATCAATCTTTTGAATGAAACTAAACTAATAGACCTTAATTCATAATAACGTCACGAGGCTTGATGCCCACGAGGAATGCTGGTCTTAGTAGTCATCGCCCGGGACAATTAAACAATTCAAAATGGCGACTGTCGAAATTTTTCCAGGCGATGACCAGTAAGATCAGCATTGCTCGCGGGCATCAAGCCATGTGACGTCATTAT